GGGGGATCAAATATGAAACAGTTTCCCGTGGTTGTTCAATTATGCTTTGAAAATGTAAGATAGAAGCTGATTGGTTATCAAACCAGAGCTTGAATAGCTCTGCATGACAAACTCCCCTCTCTGCATTTTCTAGGAGGAAACTTTTGCTGTTCAATGAATAAAAACACATTTTACACGCAAGAAGAGCCATTTACATGGAAGATGTTTTTCCTGGAAACTGAAGTTAACTGCAGAATTGAGGAAAAAAAACAAAACAAAGTAAATATAATATAGAGCTTAATACCTCGTTAGACCTCCTCCCCATGCTCACCTTCAGGAATTCTCCAGAGCCTCTCCCATCCTCTGAAACTCCCTACTACAACCTATCTGGCTATCTCTGAAAACTCACCTCGTCAGGAAAGCTTATTCCATCTCCTCTTAAAAAACTGTACATCTACTCCTTCAATCAACTTATGCCTCACAGTCATTGTCTTCTATTGCCACTCTCACAAGCAGGGTTCTTCTAATCCTTTTGTATGGTATTGTAATGTCTCCCTAAATGTTGTAAAGCATTGCATAAACTGTTGGCGCTATATAAATCCTGTATTATTGTAATAATAATTGTGCTTAAAGCATAGAGGTGTGAAGATAGACGTGATGTGTTCTCTAGAGACTAGTAGAATCAAGAGAAAATTATGTGATAAAACTTTTAGAAGAGTAAATCTAAACCCCAAAACAAAATGTAATTTCTCGTTGAGTGACACGGGATGCAGAGACAATTGGGTTATACTGACACCTACAGGAGAGTTTGAACACTGGAAAACAAAACAAAAAAAAACAGTGACCAGCCTTGTATAACCCTTCCGTCACCCACCATTACTCAGTTTTTTCCTAGTGTCCTGACGAAGTGTAACCGTTTTTTTAGCAGTTTTTTCGGTTCTCAAGATTTTTTTCTTCTTCTTCTTCAAACAAGCCATGAACTATTTCATTAATTAGACCCATTTGGGTTTCATTATTATCCCCTTCATGGAAAGGGATAAACACTAAGAAAATTAGTACTGGAAAATTAGTATCTCGCATGCACATTCCAACATTCTGCATTAGGTAGCACCTGCCTGTCACTGCTTCTTGCAGGGTGAGATTATCCCTGAGGAGTCTCAGGGAGTCACTATAGCTCCCAGGCTAAGAAAGACCATTACAGCTCCTTTTGTCTTCTACACCCTGCATATTCACCAATGTTCTAGCCCCTGCGTTTGCCTTGTTCTGCCCCCCAGGGCATCACCATTCCCCATCCCCACAACATCCTGTTAAGTCGGTACAGGACAATTCAGACTCTGAATTGAGGATCCTGAAGCTTCATAAGTCTACCCTGGAACCAACGCTTTGCTTGGAATATGTGGGTCTGATCCTGGACACAGCTCAAGCCAGTTTTCTTTCTACCAACAAAAAGTCACACTCTCAAACTCAGGCTCTTTAGTCAAAGAGTCAACCTACTCTTTGTTTCTGCATGCAAATCCTGGAGCTGATGGTAGCTTCTTATGAGGCAGTCTCATTTGCCCAGTTTCACTCCAGGCCCCTGCAGCTCAACATTTGGCAGTGTAAAACAAAGCAGTTAGTTTGGTGGCCTGATGGCTCAGATATCCAGCTCTGGAGTTGAGGAAATTATTCCTTCTGGTATCGTGGAAGATTATCACAATGGATGCCAGCCTCACAGGCTGGGCAAGAGTCCTTGTCGGGGGATTTAGACACCAGATGAATCCCAGATTCTGATCAACAGTGTGGAGCTTCAAGCAATTTGGTTGTCCCTACAACTGGACAGCTTGACTAGGAAATCTTCCAGAAAGATCCAGTCAAATAATGCCATGGCAGGGGAGGAACCCTGTGTGCCCACCTGTGGCTACATCAGATTTAAATCTGGTTCTCTCTGTTCTTAAAATATTCCTTTCAATCTTACTCACAGGGTTGTTTCTTGTTACATTACCTCTGCAAGGTGTGTGTCTGAACTGGCGGCTGGAGTTGCGCTAATATTGCGCAACATAAAAATTTTCAACTACCACCATTTTATTCTATAGGGTCTTGGCATTCAGAAAATATATAATGTTGGGGGGTTTTACGTCATTTTTAGGCCTAAAATGTGGAATATAACATGGGTGCAAAAATGGAAAAAAGGGCCTCAGTCATGAAGGGGTTAAAGAAACTTTTCTGGACATACACGAAGATAAGCGAGGATTAAGGCTTGCTCCCTTCCCAAAGTGGTTTCAGCCTTTCACCTCAACCAGGACATTGTGCTATTGTCCCTCTGCCTTCCCCAGTGTACATCAGAAAGAGATTCCCTTTGATTGTTTAGATTTATGCTATTCATGTGTAACAACCACTGCTTCCATTAAGGTGCCCACACACCTTGTGATAATCGTAAGATAATCGCTGGAAATCCAGCGATCGTACGATTATCGTAAGGTGTGTGGAAGCCGTGCGACCTCTACTACTGTAAGATCGCACGACTTTTATCTTACGAACATGTTTGAAAACCCGCCGAGCATCGTACGAGGTTCGGCGGGTGTGTAGCATGTTCGTAAGATAAAAGCCGGACGGGCCGATGTGCGCAAGCGCACACTGCCCGTTCGGCATTGCGGTCATTGGAATCCCGCCCCTCAGCGGGGCGGGGTTGCGCTGATCGCAAGTACGATCTGCCTGTCCAAGATAGGCAGATTGTGCGTTTTTTAAATTACCTTACAACCCTCGCAAGAAAAAAGTCTTGCGAGGGTTGTAAGGTGTGTGCCCAGCCTTAGAAAGGCTGACTCCCTCTTTGTCTTTCTTGATGGTCCCTGCAAAGGTGAACCACCTTCTCATAACACCATTTCTAGGTGGCTCAGACAAAACCTAATTTAAGCTTATGATCTTAACATTGGGTTCCACCCCTTCCCATCAAGGCACACTCTACTAGATGTGCTAGTGCTTCTTGGGGTTTTTCAGCATCTGGCAAATGTTTCCAAGATGTGCAAGGCTGCCACCTGGTCAACTTTTTAAAAAGCTTTCTAAGTTTTATCGGGTGGATGTTCAGGCTTCATCTGATGCTAAGCTTTGGAGATAAGGTCCTTCAGGCAGCTCTTTGAAGCTGAAGGCAGTCCCTAGTAAATTTTCTCTCTTACTACAGTTGGGCCTGTGTTGCCTACCCCTGAATTAAAGCTGTTTTTGGGTATTCCGGTTGTCTCTGAATCCAGTGTCCCTCAATGAACAAGAAAGAAAATTATTGGATTGTTATACTCACCGTAAAATCCTTTTCTTACACGTTCTTTGAAGGACATAGACCCCCGCCCCTCTGTTTCTGGTCTTGCTCTCGGCACTGCTTGCTACAAAAGTGGGGCATGCGAGAAGTGGGAGGGGTAAAACCAAGCTGGATCACTGTTTTAGTGTCCAAATTCTCCTTCTAGGCAGCAATATAGCCAAATTGACTCTAAATCATGTGTCCCTCAATAGACTTCAAAGAAAAGGATTCTACAATGAGTACCAAAATGCAATTATTGCAACTTACCAGTCTTTAGATGAGGTGGCTGCTCTTTTTTAGGTTCTCTTTTCCCTTTATCTTCACCTGGTGATTCTGGCTCTAGCACACTGCATCTCTAGGTCGTTTCACCTGATTTGGGGAACAAACACCACCTCCTCTACATTTGAAAGAGGGGATTGCTTTGTAGCTCACAGAAAATAGCTGAGAAACCTAATAACATTGTCTGAGATTTCAGTACAGGCCACAGGAAGTTACAAAGACAATACAATTCCTGACAGGATCAACATGTATTTTTCTGTACTTGCAGAAAATAGACTTTGCATTAAAATAAGCACAATGATTCAGCCACCACATCTAAAGACTTGTAGCATGCTGCAATACATTTAATTTTTATTCTTCATTAGATATGCTTTAGTACTTATATACTGCACTTCAACAGAACCACTTGTGTTCCATCAGTTCTAAATGAAGATGATGGATGTTGCTACTTGACTTAACGTGCCACTCAGTTGTGTATTAGACATCATGTTATGCCATGCATAGCAAATACCATCTTTCAGCTAGCGATTCAATTCACAACAAATGGGCAACAGATTCCCCTTTAATGGATCATGCTCTGTACAGGAACGACTCTTCAATGTAGTATTCGGAGGTATTAAACATTTCACACACAGAAAAACAAACTCTAAAATGTTTTTAATTTATATCTGGAATAAATTATTTTCTTGAATATAGTCCAGTTGGGACATACAGAATACTAGTGACAAGAAGGCATCTAAGCAGGTAGACCAGTCACTATATATTGCCTTTATTACACTAAAGGGGGTTGGAAATAACCAGGACCCCTTCAATCCCAAAGCCAGATATCACAATACACTCTTCCAACTGGATCTGTTGAAAATCCTTTCATCTCAAAGCAATGACAGCTGCCAACTTCTCTCCTTTGGTCTTTTAGAAAGCAACAATGAAAAGAAAAGTACAATTAAAAAAAAAAGAAACTGCTTTATACAGAGTGAGGAAGATAGTTTCCTCTTGTTCCTCAAAACAGAAATGACAGAAGTTATGCTCCCGCAGAACCTGTTAGAGGCATGGATCTAAGTGTTTATTCCACAGAGACGGTCCTCCTTAACTGAGGTGGAGGGGCATGCAAGACTATGCAAACCCCTATGCAGACAATCTGATCACGTCACTTTGGAAATGCCAAATGGGACCCTGCAACAAACTCCCTGCATTGTTATATTTGTCTTCATCCCCTTCCAATGGGGAAAACAGTTCTTTGCTGCATGCTACCTTCCCCTCCTTCCCTAGGCGAATATGCCTGGATCCAAAGTCAGTAGCAGCAGTTAAAAAAAACAAAAATAATGATGCCATGAGAATTTGTATCTCATTCATCCCTACCTGCTTTTTTTTTTTTTTTTTTTCCTCCCCAAATTCCCTTGGGGGATAAAAATAAAACTCTGTTATTCGTCCGTTAGATCCTGTACAAAGAGAAGCTGTGAGCGGCTGAATCCAGCCTCCTGGAGGGTCGGAGGCACAGGGGCTTCCTCACTAGGAAGGCAAGGCAACACCCTACGGGGAAAATTTGCCACTATCTGGAAATGCTCCGGGGTCTCTTTCAGAGAGAAAAGGAAATCGTGAATCACCTGGAATAAAAAACACATAGTATAAATTAGCCTTGCTGAAAGAACATTTCTCCATCGTCCATTGAGGGACACAGCTCTATAGAATTCAGACGTAGGGTTATGCAGCTCAGGAGAAATGGACACTAGTGAAAAAATTAAGTCACTTTAAGGGCATAACCCCTCCTACCTGCCAGTTTAGCTAAAGCTGGCCATACACCTATAGATTTGCAGATTTTCTATGGTCAGATAAAAAAAGTGACACAGATTCCTCCAACTACACTGAACTGTGCCACGCTTCAGTATCTTGCTAGTCGGCTCGGCTGGTCGTCAAAATACCTGAACAATACCTGCATCCAATCAGATTGATTGGACGTAGGCATTGTTCAGGTATTTTGAGAGCCAGCCGGACCGACTAGCAAGATACTGAAGCTTTGCCCAGTGGGATATTCCTCCATCCACACAGTTTAGCGTAGATGGAGGAATCTGTTGCACTTTTTCCATCTGGCCACAGAAAATCTATACGTGTATGGCCAGCTTTAGTGTCCTCTCCTCCTCTTCTGCTTTTTTATTTCTACTCAGTCTGCTATTAGTAATTCTTGGGACTTTCATAATCAGGCTTCAGTTGCTCAAATTTGTTAGGCTGCAACATGTTCTCCTGTTCACACTTTTGCAAAATCTTAGAACGTTGATGTTTCTGCCTCCTCTGGAGCTAGTTCGGCAGAAAAGGTCTTCAAGCGGCTGTTTGAGTATGTGACATTTCTTTTTTGTTGAGCCGTTTATTCTAGTTTTTATGGTGCCACCCACTTTGTTTGGACTGCTTTTGAATGTCCCTATATCTCAGAATTCTTAAGAGCTGTGTCCCTCAATGGACAGTGGAGAAAACAGGATTTTGTGCTTACCATAAATCCTTTCTTCGGAGTCTATTGAGGGACACGGCTCCCTCCCCTCAAATTCCTTTGTATTGCTTGCTACAACTGTCAGGCGGGAGGGGGAATGATCTCAAAGTGGCAGCCAGGGAGGGGGTATGATCTCGAAGTGGCAGGCTTTTAATTTTTTTTACCTAGTATTAACCCCTTCGTGACTGACGACGTACAGTGTACGTCGCCAGCATCGGGGCTGTTTAAACAGACTCCCGGTGACTTTTGCCGCCGGGATTCTGTTTAAACTTGTAGAGCCGACTGTCGGCTTTACAACAGAAGCGATCCTGGCGACTTACCTGACTTATGTTCTAATTGATTAATTAGAATACATCATATAAAACGCGCTCTCATCTCACTTCACTCACTCTTCTGCTTCTCTTAACTTCTGGGTATATCTCTCCCAATCCTGGCCCTCTAAGGGCCTGTTTACACCATATGCAGTTGTGATGCAGTCTGTTTATTTCAACTGCGCAGTTAAAATACATCCCAATGCTTTCCTATAGGCTTTCACACCATTGCAGTCGATTCAACTGCAGTCAGAAAAAGTATTGCTTGTTCTACTTTAACTGCATCAAAACACATCAAACACGTTGCAAACACATCAAACGCAATGGAACACATAAAAAAAAAGAATGGCTAAAGTCAAAACTAGCACCATGCCAGCCAACAAAGAAAGCATACTGAGCTCCCAAACGAACAAAACAAACATAGGAAATGCTCTGACAGGAAAAGGAAGTGACCTACATGCCTAATTAGCATTTTTTAGTGCAGTTAAAAAACGCATCACAGTGCAACTGCGCAGACGCACGCAGTTGTGATGCAGTTTCTGGTGTGAACTAACCCTAATATTTTTAATATTCACCCTCCAAACCAGCATTGACTTTCCTCTGGCAGCAGCCACAATCCACGCACCCTGGTTTCTTTTGACCCTGCTTCCTAGAGCAAGTCCTCCCTTCTCATGTGCCTTCTGGAATGCCCAGAGCATCTGATAGAGCATCTGTAACAAGCTCACCGCTGTGCATGATCTTCTTATCTCCTTTAACATGCTTGCTGTTACTGAAACCTGGCTTCAGGAATCTGACTCTGCCTCCCCTGCGCCCTCTACCATGGTGGCCTCCACTGGACGCACTCAGCCAGACCCAATGGACGGAAAGGAGGTGGAGAGGGAATCCTTCTATTCCCACAATGCACTTTTCAAGCTCTGCCTTCACCTCCCTCTCTCTCTCCTTTTTGGAAACTTACTGTATTCTCAAATTTCTCTGAGGATTGCTATACCAGCCTCCTGGACCAGTATCTCACTTTCGTAATGCCTGGCTACCCTACTTTCTCTCCTTAGAAACACCCACTATCATGCTTGGTGACTTTAACATTGCTAATAACATTAACACCCGGCTACCACTCAACTTCTCAACCTGACCTCCTCTTTTTGATCTAACACAATGGACATACTCCGACTCACTCTGATGGTAACATCTGATCTGAGATGTGCAGACAATAGAGGGGGGTGAGACATCTATTGTCTGCCACAAACAATGTTGATTTAACACCTCTCTCTGGGCAGGTTAATAACACCTCCTAGACTCCAATTATGCAAATGATATCAACGCCTGGTTGTGATTAACAGATTATGTGGATTGGAGCAACATTCACCATATTTATTCCCAGACAACTTTTTGTACAAGTCATTCTGAATTGAGAAAGCTGGTCGGATGACCAGTGAAACGCCTTCAAAAAAAATACAGCAACTCCGTTGCCTTGACTTATTTTTTACAGATATAAACTTTCAAGGTTTAATTTATTTACATTGATGCAGAACTGTGAGTTCTTAACTCTTCTTCCCTGAAAAGGACTTTTTGTATAACTCTGAAATGTAATTTGTTTTTCAGTTTTTGTTACCCTAAGCTTGTTTTGCCACCTCTGGCAATTTACCACTTACCTTTGTACCATTTCAGATTATTCACTGGACTTGAACTGCTTACGTTCAAGAAAAACTGGAAAAATTGGGGTGTTTTAAATCTTTTTTCACACAAACACTTGTACAGCATACAAACTCTGATGTGGCAGGAAATGAACCCAGAACCTCAGTACTGTAAGGCAAGAGTGCTAGCCATTGTGTTGCCTCCTTCTAAGAAAGAAGTGGTATTATGGCGATAGTACAAAATGCATGTTGCAGACAGACAGAAAGCAATAGCTATCGCAGCTGTAAGACATTCTCCACATCAACCAGATTCTATCCATCAGTTTCACAATGGTTTTATTAACTAGCGTTACAGATGTGACAAATGAAAGCATTACTACAAATGGTGGACTTACTGATAGGGACTGTGTGAAGAGGAACCTCCGCTCCACTCTGGTATCATTTGGCATCTTAAAAATGATTTTCACACTATCAGGATGGTCTGGCTGTGGTTCTGCAGGAAGACACTCTGACTTGCGCTCCTTCTCTTCTTGCAGGGTCTAGAGAACATATCACAGAGGAGAATAGGAATTAAAGCAACACTCCAGGCAAATGCTTATCCAGTAAATACTGATCCTGAGACAGCACCTGCATCTGTGAGAATACACAAACTGACTACAGCTGACTGGCTGCAGTCAATGCTTGGCCACTGTTCAGTCAGTCTTCGGCCGTCTTTTTTCTGCCCGGCTCCTTGGATTTTTCAATCAAATTTATTGGTGTTGGCAGGGCCACCCACAGCTTCAATTTCAGCTGATTCACAGAACATTGTCCAAGTTCAAGCCATGTATAGCCAGCTTAGGGAAGCAGAACTTCAGCAGTCAGTTACCCAATAGTTACCCATCAGCTGAGTAAATACCATTACTATGATTTAAAGGAGGAGATTAAGGAACTGTGCATACAGAGGATGTCTGCAACTAGAATATAAACGTTTTCTGAATCTGTACCCCCACCTTTTACCAAATCCCCCACCTTTTACCAGATCCCCCACCTTTTACCAAACTGTGTGCTATTGGTAAACATCGAGACACAAAAGGGATGAGATTTCTTACTAAAATTAAACCAGTAAATGAAATGTGGTTCAAACAGGCAAATACCACCACATAAGAAACTTGAAGCTTCCACTTCTGCGGCAGGAAAAAAGGGAGCTGTACATTGTTGGCGTCAGTTTGTGAACATTACCCTTTTCTTCCTCTCTTCTGCCAGCTGCCTGAGCTGTGCTTCCTCTTCCTCTCTTCTCTTTTGCTCCTGCTTCTCCCTCTTCTTACGTTCTTTCTCCTGATCAGCTCTCAGGGATACTAGGTATGCTTCATCCTGTTGCTGCCTCAGTACCTGAGTCTGGTTTCTCTCCTCCCTGAAAATAATACAAACAATTATAAAGTGATGCTGGCTACCCTAGGGCTTGTTTAGACATCTGTGATTTCCCTCATCTTTTTTAACAGATGAAAAAGGCATGATGACTGCAGCCATTGGAAGTCAAAAGCAAGCAGTATGGAAGTAAAGAGACAATATTTGTCACCACAACCTTAAAGCGAAAGCAAACTTAAAAAATAAAAATTTAGAATGTAGAGTTTTTGGACGATTTCCTGAGTTACCATAATGTACAGGGGTACAGGTACTCTTAGGAATGTGATGACGCAGGGACCTATACATACACACAATAGGTTGGACTTGATGGACTCATGTCTTTATTCAACCTCAAATACTATGTAAAACCCACCTACTTCCCAGCTCTAGCAATTCTGCCTGTATACACTGTACTGCATATGAGCAATGCAGTGTACTACCCTAGGTCCTAGCTCCTGTAATATACAGGGAATGGAGCCAGGTACTAAGAAGGAAGTAACTCCAGTGCGCCTGCGCAGGAGTTACGTCATCAGAGGCACTCCAATTATCGAAGAGCACAACAGCGGATCTGGAAGCAGCAGAGGAGATGGTGACAGAGATGGGCAGAGCAGTGACTGACAGTGTAGGTTGGTAAGCGCTTGGGGAGGAGAGCACACTTAAAAAATAGGTGTGCTATAATGTACAAATATGCTGTGCATACTTCCAGATTAAGGCAATATAACCAAGTTTTAAAACTTCAATTCCACTTTGCCACTTGTTTATATGCTAGTGTAACTTTACATAAACATGCACATTTGCCATGGACCTGTGCCACATTACAGTGTGTTTTAGTCAGCAATTATAGTGCAGTAAACTAGTCTGATAGGGCTGGGATAGCACTGCAGTACGACATTCCTTTAATGTGATCTGAAACCTTCCTATATTTACAGAAGTGAATACTTGCTTTCTTAAAAGCTTTGGATATCATGGGGAAGAATTACAATCTGTCTGGTTTAACTGCTGTCCGTGCCGTTAGCATGTTTTTCTCCATCTTCCTGTTTTGTCACTAAAAAAAGGAAGTAATGGGAAATTTCCCAAAAGAAGATACAGATAGAATTAAATAACTGACACAGGTTCTAACATTTTGAAAAATCAGCTTCACTTTGATGGTGTTTGTAAAGGTTAAAGTGGCCATGGATAGGCACATTGCTCATCAATGTCAGATAAGACAAGATATCTTTTTGCCCCTTTTCCAGATGGGGTTGAAATTAAAAGCAACATTTTGCCTTCATTTCTTGTAAAGGAAATTTCACAAAGTTTGCTAGCATTTATGATGTAATGTTTCAATAAACCACAAAGATGTTTGATCCTGTAGCTCACCGTTCCATTCTCTCAGACACTAAGTAGGTCTGGTTGGCATCCATTATGAAAGTCAGTTGGTTAATTAAGTCCTGTGGCTGAATCAAACCTTCCAGCCTTCCCACCACAGTCATTCGGCGATCCTTCAGCGTTATCATGGCTAAGAATGGGTATGTGTTCTCACGAAGGGCCTGGGAAACTAAAGAACAAAAAAAACAATATGTATGCGTTATTACAGGACAAAACATTTTACCAATTGCAACAAACAAAAACAAAAATCAGCAAAGTGATACACTTACCTCTGAATCCCTCTGGCTTGTTAGTAGAGCATGCCCAAAATAGCATTCTGCTGTTGATGAACTGAGACACCTCTGATGTGCAAAGGGTATTCCTACAGCAGACAAAAATATACATTACCTGATTACAAAGCAATTCATTAGGACAGGTCCATGTGATTTACCCAACTGATTGAATGGCACATTTGGCTGGACAAGTTAAAGGATTAAGCCCCTGGTTCAAGCTACAGTATGCTACTTCTGGGCACCAGTTTAAAAACCAAATCTGTTTACAGTTCCAGTACATGCAAAACACACAGGGACTTATGTATTCTGCCGGCCAGCATTGTATGCAGTGACACTTTCTTAGCCATCCCACTGTGTATCAGTCATGTGATATCACTTACTTGGGGGGTCCCTGCAATGTGTCATTGCACAAAGCACTATTAACCAAAGCAAGCTTCAAACAGAATTTCTTTAATGTACAGTATTCTTGTATAATGTCCAGCAGTCTCTTGCGATGTGCACCTCCCAGTTTACATAACTCTAGTAACATGACTGCTTGCAAACATCCAATACAGAAGTCTCTTATAACATGCATCACTGTTAAGTCCAATGTAATTTGCTGCAGCAGAGTATTGTCAAATAACAAGATATTCTCCGGTTACCGCACAGAGATGCTTGAGAAAATTCTGACTTTGTATGGCAACAGTAAAAGTGGATCGGGGTAAGAGCTGTGAAACTTGAGTTATAGGTACCAGAAGACGCAAAGCAAAGGTGTGGTTGAGGTTGCAGTAGGCAAGTACGCATGTACAAGTCAAGTTACAGAAAAAGACCAATTCGGGTCTATAACAAAGGCAAAAAATAAACATGGGGTAGAGGGCAAGGCATACCTGCAAAATTCATCAGAGTCTTGATGATCCTCCCCATGCAGATACACCAGCAAAAACCGCAGCTCCTGTTTGGCATCATTTAGAGCCTGCCATAACAGACAATCAGTGGGTAAACAGGGGCACACTGTAAATCATCAACAGTATTTCATTATCTCTGCCTAGCAAAGAGGAATGCTATCAGTGTACAACTGGACAGAGCCACGGTTTCTCATATTACACATAAAGACATCACAACATGGACAATGGTAAGCTTTTGAAAACAAAATTATGAGTTTCACAAGTGCTAATGTTATAACGTACATTCTGGATGGGAAGGTGGAAGTGTGCATTGCAAAATAGACATCATTATGTTCTTGTATAATTCCCAAAAAATAATAAAACAGCCATTTTGTATGAACAGTTATAAGGTAACAAAAACATTTTTACACGACTGGGATACTGACACCTGCTAGAATACATTTTTCCACTATAATAAGTCTGGGCTTTAACCCTTTCGCTGGCACCGACGTATGTCCTATGTCGGTGGGACCCTTTAAACAGACTCCCGGCGACACTGCTTACATGTGTAAAGACGACTGTGGGCTTTACACTGGAAGTGATTCTGGCAGCTGAGCTGCCACCAGAGGGCGGTGCAGTGTGCGCCTCCCTCCTGCAACCAGCTTTGTTTCCTGGGCTCTGCTGCCCCTCCTGCAGGCCAGGGACCGGCTTCTTGGGTGTCGGCGGGAAGCGAGGAAGGAGAGCGGCGAACATAGTAGATATGGTTGAATAAAGACAAGGGTCCATCCAGTTCAACCTATGTGTGTATGGGTGTGGGATTCTGTATCTGTAGTTATTTGACTCTTAAGGCCTGGTTCACCCCTGGGCGTTTTACAGCGCGTTCCTACGCGCTGTAAAACACTCAACATGTGAAAACCAATAAATTGCCTATGGGCATGGTTCCCACCTGGGCGTATTTCAGCGCATAGGAACGCGCTGAAAAAAGCTCTACGGCCAAAGAAGTACAGGAGCTTCTTTGGGGCGTTTTGCCGCTCGTTTCCATTGGTATTCCTGAGTGTGGATCGGGGTTAACAAAGCGCTAACCCCGAGCCACACTCGGGAATACAGCGTACAGGTCTTACCTTGTCCGCGAACCCCGATGTGTCCTAGGTATCGTTAGGTATCGCCGTGTGCACCAGAGTGAGATCAATAATTCTAGGGACAATAATCATGGATATCGCTAAACTGATGACCTGTATAGGCTTTTTAAAGTGTCGCCTATGAATAATTTGGGGGGCCATATTTGTCGCTATTTCACGGGCGCATGCAATTTTTCAACATGTGCATGTTGGGCATCTATTTACTCATCGTAACCACCTCTTTTATATTTTACCAAATTGGTATTTAATTGTGTTTTTAAACACTTAAATGATGCCTCTTGATTCGATCATCTTCTTCCTTCCACTTGTTTCCAACAATCCCTCCAGCGCTGATGCGAGTCTCTGATCCAGCGCTGACTTCTGTGTCTTCTGTGCCCCACGGTGTCTGTCCGACGTGCACACTCCCGGCTGTGTGCATTCACTTACAATGTGTGTCCCCTCTTCTCCCTGCCGAAGATCTCTACTGTGCATGCAGTACTGTCTACTGCGAAGATGATGGCCGCTCGAGAAGCTCCAGAGGTAAGCAAATACCTTTTTGGTAACTTTTTTTTTTTTTTTTTTGTTTTTGCATATATTTTCTTCTTTCTAAAAAAAAAAAAAAAACGAGAGTTTAATTATATTTTAAATGCATATTTTTACAAAATGTTGGGAGTTTGATAGAGTTGCACTAATATCGTGAGATGTAAACATTTGCAGCTGCCACCATTTTATTCTACTTTGCTTTCAAACAATATATCATGTTTTTGGGGTTTTAAGTAATGTCTAAATGTGGATTATACTGTTTGCAAAAAAAGCCCTTGGCAGCGAAAGGGTTAAAACTTAGAGGAGAAGCCCACATCTATGCATGCTTATTTTGTGGCAATACAGACAGGTCACAGTGGGCAAATTAGTCCCATTGTGCACATGATGTTGATGATTTAAAATGTACCAGAGCACCGTAAAACCAAATGCACTGTATTATGCAAATGACAACTTCACCTCTAAAGTCAGGGCTATGGCCACTCTATATGGCTTTCACCTCCCATACCCCACTATTGATCAATGAGACTGTCCATCAAAGTTATGGACCAATAGAGAAGCTCAAGAGGAGAGAGAGCAGACTAGAAGACATTTGCTCACCGCAGTACCATGGGTTTTGGGATTTCCAGAGTGCTCCAAAATTTAAGCAGGGTGTGGTTGTCACCTGCACTCCCTTCATAACCTTTACATTTACTAAACATTTGGTTTCAAGCGGCATTTAAAAAAAACCATTGACTAATGACAGCATATCTGGACTGTTATGCGTTACCTGACTATAGGTCCCCTGGTAAAACACAGGGTGTGTTCTGCCGTACTTCTCTTCAAACATCTGTATAAAGGAGACTATGTCCCCCACGGGGTCAGTAACTCGGCTACGTGGATCTGGTCGGACAAAACGAAGAGCAAACCTAAAATTGAAAATACACAATTTCTGCAAAGATTCTCCAATATAATGACATATAACAAAATCGAAGTAACTTACCTAAATATATCAAGTAGTGTGTAATAGGTGATGCGGAATGGAAGCATGATCAGGTAGTAACCCCAGCCAAGGAGCCCCTAAAACAAAATACAGCCGTGTTACATAGTTTACATTTATCGTAGAATCTGCAAGTAGAGTTCTCTGTACTGCACAGAACAGCCAATCAGATTCTTCTGCTCATGTTACCAGTGCAAACAGGAAAATGAGATTGGAAATGTCATTGGTTTCCTTGAGCAACACATACAATTCTTATTTCAGATAGTTTGCAAGCTTTTTCTCTACTCACCCTGGGCTGTGGCCGGGACACCACATAACTGTATACTCTATGGTCGGCTGTATTCACTTGTAGCGGTCGATTGGGTGCTGTGTTAAAGACACTAGGAACACCCTCTTGTTCATTGAGTCTGTCCTGGACAGCTGCCTAAAAAGAAGACAGAGTAGGTTTATTAACATCATACCCATCTCCTTTCTCCTTAACCTAGTTGATGTGGATATACCTCTATATTCCAGTTGTGCTGTTGCAAGGTTTGGCGACATTGGTCCATTGACTCTATTCCTGTCAAGTCCTGGAAAAGAGTAGATGAGAAAAAAGTTTTCTGAATACATCAAATACAACAGGCATTCCAACAAGGCAAAAACGATGACAATATAGCATATGTGGTTCAGTATACCAGGACAATCCCAGATGCCAGTTTACCATGGCCAGTATTAGAATCTGGATCATGCTGTCACCAAGCACAAGATTCTTAGGGCTGTTTTTGGTCACTCTGCACCCTAGTTGGTCCGTAACTCATTACTGTGTCCTGTAGAGACATAGGGGATGGCATCAGGAACCACAACATGGGCCGGGGGAACCAGGAAATCTATATCCTCAAAATTCTTCAGGATCTTCATCTGGCCCCTTTCACACGAGCTGATCAGGAGAGGATCGATGCACAGATCCTCTCCTGATTACAGCAGCACAAACGGATGTCACCACTGTGACATTGGTCTACGTACAGTTTTTTTTCCTCCATTTTGCGACAAAGGAAAAGAACTGCAATTGCCGGACCCCATGCCAGTCTATCTGGAAGTAAACGGTCATGCTTATTTACATCAGATTACCCCCGGTCCTTCAAAATGAAACACTGTTCCGTTCACTTTACCAGAAGCGGCCGGTGGCGGGGGTAACCGGGTGTAAACAGACACCCATAGACTTGCATTTGGCTTTCAAACGGGTCCGCCTGTTCGTTTTTCGGACTTGATCAAATGTCCAACGGCTGTGTTAAAAGGGCCTAACTTCACTATAGTAGTGATCAGCATTGACAGAAGAGAAAATGAGCATTCATTGTCGTCTTTACACACTTCTTTTTTTGAACAGTAACTGTGCCGCCCCAATAGGGACATAGAATATGAGATGCATAGCCTCAGTTAATATTAGCATTGTTATATAGGTTAGAATTTATATAGTGTGATTTGCCTAACTATTTTCTCATAGCTAAATTCATGTCTTATCCTATGCTGCCATCTAGTGGCCTTTTGTTGTAATGTACATGTTTTTCTGTAATTATTCCTCATGTGACGATGTATTTCCCCCTAGTGTAGCCTCACCCTTCTTCCTGTGTGCAGTACTTCCTGTGTCATGGCACAGTTAGAAGCCACATGTAACAAGGACACACATGTAATCTGCACAGTACGTAGGAAAGGCATCATTTTCTGACCGCACAATACTATAACCGTTCAACTGCTGTTCCTTTTTTTTTACTTTTTTTCCCCTCTTCATTTCTAATTAACACCTATAAAATGTAAATATATTTACCCAAATCATTTACAAAGGATGGATAATAGACAACCAATGTATAATATATCAGAATAGATATTGCTGTGGATAGTGGATATTGCTGTGGCAATTTTTAAGGGGATTGTAGAGATTATAAATGTAGAAGAATTATAGGGCTGTCATAGACTAAATCAGTTACAATGAAGCAGGCCCCAGTCTCCAAATCCTATAGCATGTTCACAGTATGACCATTTACTGAAGCTTGCTCATACTCTTTGACCATCTTCTGTTGCATACCTACAGTCTGATCCTCGCATGTAGCATGCCTATAGTCTTTGACCATCTCCTGTTGTGTATGTACAGTCTTTAACCTTCAATAGTAGCATGTCCATAGTCTTTGATCCTCTGCTATTGCATACCTATATCCTTTGACCTGCAACTGTAGCATGTCCTCAGTCGTTGACCATGTACTGTTGTATATCTACACTCTTTGACCTTCACTTGTAGCATGTCCATAGTATTTGACCATCTCCTTTTGAACATGAACAGTCTCTGACCGTCACTTGTAGTATGACCACAGTCGTTGACCATGTACTGTTGTATATCTACACCCTTTGACCGTCACTTGTAGCATGTCCATAGTCTTTGACCATCTCCTGTTGCAAGTCTGCAGTGCCTGACAGCTTTCTGTAACAATAAATTCACTAAACATTAAGAGGGGAATTTATCAAAACTGGAGCAGACAAAAACTGGAGCAACTGTGCATGGCAACCAATCAGCTCTGATCTTCAGTTAAGATTTGGAAATGAAAGACAGAAGCTGATTCTTTGCTGTGGTCAGCCCTGGCTTAAAATAAAAAGCAACTTCAATCTCATGAAATACTCTCTGTATGCAAAACAATCTTATTTTTACCAATGAGGGAAACTTTCAGTCTTAGATTCAGCCTCAGATTGTTTTATTCATCAAAATGTAGTGTCAGCTGTAAATCAGTAAACTACAACAGTAAAAAAGAAACCTCCAGTCATGATTCTCTAGCATACAAAGTACTATACCAATTCTATAGAAAATACTACATACTGGATAAAAAGAAAAGAAAAGACGAAGCCTCTATTGTGTGAAGGTGACAGGTGCATTCAAACATGCCTGGCAGCTGGCATATGTACTGCACGACCTTTCTACAGCTCAACAGCTATTTGTTTTGAAAGTACCATTCAAAAGAAACATTGGCCACTGTCACATTACCACACTATGCTATTAAAGTGCATTTCCAAATGATAAACCTTTCCCCACCAAAAAATGATATTCCCAGTTATTAAAAATGTGTAAACTGTCATATGCTAGATCTAGGTCTCAGCTATGGGCATTCTATTTTGTTGCTCGTGTGGGACCGGGGGATACACCCTTATCTTATCCTCTTTACTATTCTTTTTCTTGGGGAATTGTCGCTTTCTAGCACCTTGAAAATCTTCGCTCAGGTATGCTGCTGACCTTAGCGACCAAGCCATTGGCGGTTGCATTGCCTTATCGATGATTGTTGGTATTTTGCACTGATGCAGCTGTGTTCTTATTTTGTTTCCCTGAGGAGTTGTATATTGGTGCATCTTCCAGTGTTTACTCTTTGGAATATTGTATCTATGCCCCTACTTATTTTTTTATGTATGTCGTGAATTCTCAATAAAAACTTATAACAAGTAAAAAGATTAAAATTTGTAAACAACATTTCAGGCGTTACAGGGTTCTCATATATGTATGTTTTTTTTTTTTAAATGCAACAAGCTCGTAGCAGGCACCAGAAGATTCCCATTTTGTCCATGCCCCACTTATGGTCAAGAAAGATCCAGCCACAGTTTCCATGAGTGAACTGTAAAAAAAACAGTCATATATACCTGAACATTTCATATTCATGGAAGACCAGTGTGGGGCTAGACCCACTGCAAAGGTTCATTTTTAATAAATCCTAGAGTTCTTTAACTGAACAAACTGAAGGCAGAAGCTGATTGGTTACTATGCAATGCTTAACTGTAGCCAAACTGTCACAATCCTAGAATAATACTTTTAAACAAGTAATGACAGGTCAAGAACCTAAATATTAAGTCTTAAAGCAGAACGCCAGGTACAAATATTAACCCTTACAGCGGGGCTACTCCTGCACTGCAAGGATTAACTGCTCGTTTTGCCTAGGGTCAAAAGTAAAGTTTTACTCACCTGACCCTCCAAGCCGGCTTGATTTTGGACCGGTCCCTGAAGCCTCTCCCCTCCCCTGCTGCAGTGGTACAAGGTCCCCGAGTCATCACGTTCTATACACATTGTATAGCAAGTGAGGATGAGGAGGGACATACCATTGCTGCAGTGGAGGATGAGAGAGGACGGCTCTGAGGATCGGGTGAGTATACCATTGTTATTTTTAACCCTAGACAAAAACAAGCACTTAACCCTTTCAGTGCAAGGGTAGCTCAACTGCAAGGGTTAGTATAATTTTTATTGTTAAAATATTATTACTGTATAGGCTTAACTATAAAATATTTATACGTATGCTTTTTATTTAGCTCAATAATCAAACACTGTATATTGCAGTTTACAAATCCTTAAATTTGGTGGCCTCCGTTTTGTTTTTAGGCTTTTTTCTTCATTTTCACCTGCTGATCCGGCCAGTAAGTCTGTTATTTTTCATCAACCAAGCTGTTCAGCACATGTGCAAGTTAGACGGCTGAGACAAACCATTTAACACTGACGGGTGCTTACAATAGTCAGCTGTTATGCCTTATACCTTAAAGTATATTTACAATTCTGTAGTCAAATTTGAGAAAACCTCTCTACGTTTGTTACGTGTTCTCAATCACACAGCATACTGAAAACACATTTTTCTAAATATATTTCTTACCTTTTAGCTGTGTTTTTGGTGAAGGCCTTTGCTCAGATTCCAGGCTACAATGAGCAGTTTGAAAGGAAATTTGGAGGGACAGACTGAGCTTTCTCTCCGCGTTCCAGAGCGTTCAGTCTCTGGAACGCAAGCGTTCCAGAGCGGGAGGGGGCTTGGCGGTGCATTGAAGTCAATGGCACCGCAGCCATGACCCCTGCCCGCAGTGCTTGCAGCATTTTAGCAGATCGCACTGGACCGAAACAAAGGCACTGATGTGCCTGTGCTTCGGGTGCGGGCAATCGCACTGCGGGCAGGGGGCATGGCTACGGTGCCATTGACTTAAATGCACCGCCATGCCCCCTCCACCCCTGAACGCAGGGAGCCAGCCGGCTTGCGTTCTAGTGCATTGCAGAGACCGAACGCTCTGGAACGCAGACTTTGTGGTGTGAACCGGCCCTTAGTCTTTAACCCTTTGTTAAGTGCTTCACAAATCTAGATTACAACTGATAATGAAATCCGCCAGCACAGTACAGACAGGGCTGGAGGTGATGTAGATCACTCCCACTCATTCATAATTGAGGATATAGTAACCATACTATGTCCTCAATTATTTACAAACACTCAGCGATCATTGCTTTCTTAGTGTTTGTACCTCGCTCTTCTTCCTGACAGCTGTCACAGGAGGCTGAGCGAGCGGTGCGGGAGGAGAGCTTAGCCTCCTGCGACAGCGCAACCTGTCTCCGCCCCCCACACCGCTCTGCCGATCTGTGACAGGAGGCTGAGCGGTGATGGGAGGAGAGACACGGGCCGCTCGCAGCGCTCTCCTCCCGCAGCGCTCGGCCGCCTCTGACAGTTTCTCTCCTCCCCAATGGGACACAGCGGGGAGGAGAGAAAAAATTAATGCACCACTGTATCGGCAAAAAAATGGCATTTCGGCATTATGCCAAAAGTGCCATTTTCGGCCGATATATCGGTGCATCCCTAGCAAACACAACTTTAAAGCCCCCTCCACAACATTACATAGGGGGAGGTGATGTAGGATTTTAAGTAAAAAAAAAAGAAAAAACACATAAAAATGTAATTGGCACCTTTTTTTTGTTAAGGGTATGTAATGTGAATGGGAACAAGTATCAAATATAAAGTAGAGGTTATCCCAATTTGACGGCAAACATGGAAATACACTTTAAGCCACAGTAACGTGATCACCCAGCGCTTGGTCCTTCTCCTCTCTGTCTACTATCTGCAAGGGTCCATTATCTGGGGGTGATAGGTTGGAGGGGGTAGAGGGAGGTGAAAGGCAGGGCAGGATGGTAGCTTTGGTAGACTATTTGATTGGAGTTGGGCTTTAACTTATTTCCTTTTATAATTAGAGGTTTAGACAATCCACCCATGATACATACTGACACACTACAATTGTTTCAGCCTGTGCGCCTCTTGTATGCCAATGAGTACATTAGAGAGCTAGTGACAATTTGAAGTATGCAGCTTTATCAGTGACTAGCAGGCCAATTTTGTCATTAAGTTGTATATATCAGATTACTCATAGAATAACGGTTGAACACAACATAACCATAAAGAAAAATAGCTCCCTATGTGACAAGTCACGTGTTATTGGATTCATTTATCAAATCTGATTTGAGGAAAAGAAATGCTCTGCCTCGCCTCCTCGCCTCCTCTCCTCCTTGTGTTTTAAATGTCAATCATGGTACCGCCGTGGGTGTGAGGTTGGAATGGCTCCCGATGATATTTAGGACTTGTTCACAACAACTGCAGAGCAGATACAGACCAGACCAGTTTTTTTGTCTGGTCCAAACGCATCCATATAGATTCCAATGGTTGTGTAGTTCACACCATTGCGCTCAGTTCCAGAGCTTTCAAAAAAAATAAGTCCAGCATGTCACATTTTTCTGGTCTGGAACACACAAAACCGAATGTAAATTCGGGGAAATGCTCCAGAACACTCCGCAACTTAACTAAAAGCCAATTGAGGCTAAAAACGCACCGGAATGCATCAAAAATGCACCTGACTGCATTCGCAGGAACGCATCAAGATGTGGTCCAGACATGGTGTGAACAAACCCCCAAAGAATACACTGGGACTCGCATTCGCATACTCACACACTTACACATAAGGTTGAACTTGATGGACCTGTGTCTTTATTCAACCTCAAATACTATGTAACTATGTGTTGAGAGAAACATGGAGGCTACCATTGCTGATCTCCTTCCAGGCTAGCTGCCTAGCCGATTCTGACTTCAATGTATTCCGAATCACAGGCATGGAACAAGCATGCAGCCAGGCAAGTCAGAGTACATTCATAACACTTGATCTAAATACTGGTTCCAAGTCAGTGGCTTAGGAAACATGACGACAAGGCAAATAGCAGAAATCAGCAGTGACGGCTTCCATGATTCTGTTTCATAGGTTTCCTTAAAAGCACAGAAGGCACACAAAACAAATTCTTCTGGGTTTTCGATCATCAAATCTGCACCTGTCCCAACCTAAGAAACTGAAAGTAACATTTCAAGCTAAACTGTTCTCACGGCACACACTAACATGTACTTAGACGGGAGTTTTACTGTGACCACCTGGCTAACAGCTAAATAAACAGTTGTAATGCATATATGGGGGCAGTTTTCTCCCCTCACCAAAAGGATTGGTGGCTTTGTCCAGCCCATCCTGAGATTTACACATTCCTGCTTGACAGCACAACCAGCTAGGTGTCCTCTCTTCTCCCCTAATGCAGCATGGCATTGTCACCTTCCTGCCCCTCAGACAGTGACTGGACAAGAAAGGAGCAGCAGCAGACTGAGATGCTCATCTCTCCTCCTGTCAGCGTGTTCCTTCCCAACATGAGGAAAGCCTCACTCACGCTGCAATTGACAAATATGTATTTAGACATTTCTAAATGCTTTTGATTTTTAATGGTATTATACAGTAAGATCTTTTACCTGCACTTAGGTGCGGCCAGTTTAGCTGCGTTCAGACAAGATAGCCAGAGTCCAATTAGAAACTCTAAATGCATGGTAACATGACTAAAGCTGCTTTGGGCTGCATTCGCATGAGGAGTTCAGGCATTCCTGGGGTACACATGTATTGTGCATCCAACGAGAATCATCTATTCCAAACCGCATGTGATCATCCCATGTACGATTACATGAGAACTGCTGCTGATAAATGCGCCCGCTGTCAATCTGTCATTAACTTCATTGGGTACAGCAGCTGCATCTGAATGGGGACCCTTGGGATTCTTGGCGCAGGAATCCCATGTCTGGGAAGGTTCTCATTCATCCAGGTCACAGTATATTTGTTAAAGCTGGCCATACACCTGGTCAGATAGAAAAGGTGCAACATATTCCTCCATCTACGCTGAACTGTGTGGATGGAGGAATCTCCCGCAGGGCCAAGCTTCAGTATCTTGCTAGTCGGCCCCGCTGGCTGTGAAAATACCTGAACAATCTGATTGGATACAGGCATTGTGCAGGTATTTTGAGAGCCTGTGGGGCTGACTAGCAAGATACTGAAGCTTGGCCCAGTGAGAGATTCCACCATCCACACTGTTCAGTGTAGATGGAGGAATCTGACCATAGAAAATCCGCAGATAAACTATAGGTGTATGGCCAGCTTTAGAATAAATCAAGGCAACTGAACTTGCTGTATTATTCTTGAAGACGTTTCACTGGCCATCTGACTTGCTTTCTTTTCTGGGTGCCATATGCATAGCTTTCTCTTCCCTTCTGAATTGAGAAAGTTAGTCGAATGACCAGGGAAACATTTGCAAGGATAATACAGCAAGTCGGGTTGGCTTGATTTTTTTTTTACCGATAGGGATCCTAGAACACGGCATGTGTCTCCATGTGAATGGGGCCTTAAAGCTGAAGTTTAGTTTCTTTTTTCTTTAGTTTTTAACTAAACCTCACATTTAGCTAGCTAATTTGTATTGAGATAGTAGTCCATCGCAGGAGTGAGCTTGGAGCGGTGACTACATTACAACACATACAGGGACCATGGAGAACAAAAGTAGCCACCCTCCAGAAGGCAGGACAGTGTCAGCATGAATTCAGAGATGATTTGAGGATCTACAGCTCAGGGATACATAAATAAGATACATTTTTGTTAAAGGAGAACCATGAGGTGAGTGCTTTTCACTCACCTCATAGTTCTAGCCGACCTGTGACAATGAGACTGTCACAGGTCGGCTCAGTGGATCGGGAGGTGAGCGAACACATCCCGGGTTTGCTCACCTCTCGATCCTGTCACGGCTCTCTGCTGTGACAGGGGAGGGGCTGGATACCCCCCTCCCCGCTCCGATCCGCCAGCGCTGACTGGCGAAACGGACTGGCGAAACTCTAGATAGGCAGAGCCAGCTGTCAGTCACGCAGCTGGGCAGATCCCGGCACAATTGTCGGGATCCGCTTCAGCGTCTCAGTATGTAGCTCGCGGTATACTGAGCTTAGGGTAACGGGAGGACGCTAGTTTGTGCCCTTCCGTTACCCTAAGGAGAACTATGGCGAAAAGCCTTAACCCCATGGTTCTCCTTTAAGGTACCTGAATGTGCAGATGCTGCAGTGCCGTCCGTCCGTTTTTTTACTACGGGCGGACGGCAAGAGGTTAAAGACTTAACTCCTGAGTTTAGTGTCACTTTAAGGTTTGAAAGTGAAAGTGAGAAGCTGACTGGTTGCCATGTACAGCTGCTCCAGTCTTAGTAAATTCCCCACAAGCACTTCCAGCCTAGTGATCCCAAAGAAGAAAACTCTGACGTAGGTGCTGATGAAGAGCCATAGACTGCAATGTAAAGGAACAGAAATGTCCTGTACTGCTGTGGATGTCACTTGGGCTCCTGTTATATGCCACTATATTTGTTATAGGTTTAGAGGTCACTTTTTTACAATGAGAATGAATCCAAATTACCTGCAATGTCATTAAGAATCAGTCTGGGGACAGAGAGGGTCACCTGACAATTGAAAATCATCTAATCCTAATAACAGCCACATACAAAGTTGATCTGCTGATAAGATGCATTCCAGGTAAGCGGCCATGGGTGAATTAAATGCAGCATAGCAGACATGAGCAGGTAGGTGGATAAACAGCAGTCCTCCATGTGCAGGGTGACTGACATATATAGCCAGCGCATATAGTCCTGCCATGGAAGATAACAGACTGATGAGCTGCATTGGGACACCATGGAGGTGATGAATGAGGCCCAGTGGGACAGCTGTCTGCTCAGAGGACATTCTGCTCCTCCTCGGTGAACCGGTACCCTGTGCCCCCATGTAATGAGATGCCAGGGTGAGCCCACACACCTCCTCTCATGGCTTGGGCTCTCCTGCCTCCTCATAAGATGGACTGTCCCTTTCAGGACACCCTCCCCGCCCTCCTACCTGGAACTGCAGCAGTTTCTCGGTCTGCTCCTGGCTCAGCTCCCGCTCCTCCGGCGCCGCCATCTTCCCTCTCCGCCTTCTGACCCGTCACTCCCAGCCACCGGAAATGACGGATCTAATTCGTGGGCTCGGAGGTGATGGAGTTCCGGTGGCCATCTTAATTGGTTGCCTAGCAACTGGTAGAGTGTGTGTGTCCATGTTGCTTGCTTGGAGAGTGGTGTGCCTGTGTGATACGATGAGCGAGAGGGCTCGGTTCCTCCTCCCTATAGATGATTCCGCACGGTGCTGGCTATAGTGAAAGGAAGAAGCTGATTGGTTGCTGTAGGCGCTTAAGCGGAATTATCAATCTGCCACCAGTTCCCACACAATTCGTAATTTCTGATCACTCCACGTACCAACATTCACACAATAGTTTTTCATCTCTGATTAAAATAGATATGACTCGGACGATATCAAGTGAAAATACAATCTACCAGAAATTATTATTATTATTATACAGGATTTAAAAAGCAGATTAAACAGTTTGCACAGCGCTTTACAATAGAAGGAAGACATTACAATCGCAAAACAAGATGGTAAGGAGGGCCCTGCCTGTGAGGGCTTACAATCTAAAGGTGCCCATACACTTTACAACCCTCGCAAGACCCCTACCCTGCCCCAGCCTTAACTCCGCCAGGTCAGCGGTGTGATGCGCAGTACAGAGGTCAGTAATGTAACGCACAGTGCAGAAGTCAGAGTGACACACAGCACAGAGGTCAGAGGGGCGCAGAGGTCAGTGTGATGCACAGCGCAGAGGTCAGTGTTACGCACAGCGCACAGGTCAGTATGACGCAGAGGTCAGAGTGACGCACAGGTCAGTATGACGCAGAGGTCAGTGTGACGCACAGCGCAGAGGTCAGCATGACGCATAGTGCAGTGGTCAGAGTGACACAGAGTCAGTGTGCCGCGCAGAGGTCAGAGTGACGCACAGCACAGAGGTAAAAGTGACGCACAGAGGTCCGATTGACGCATAGCGCAGAGGTCAGCGTGACGCATAGTGTAGAGGTCAGAGTGACGCACAGGGCAGGGTCAGAGTGACGCACAGCGCAGAGGTCAGAGTGATGCACAGCGCAGAGTCAGTGTGATGCACAGCACATGGTCAGTGTGACGCACAGCGCAGGGTTAGTGTGACGCACAGCGCAGGGTCAGTGTGATGCACAGCGCAGGGTCAGAGTGACGCACAGAGGTCAGAGTGACGCACAGAGTCAGTGTGGCGCACAGCGCAGGGTCAGTGTGACGCACAGCGCAGGGTCAGTGTGACGCACAGCACAGGGTCAGTGTGACGCACAGCACAGGGTCAGTGTGACGCACAGCGCAGAGGTCAGAATGACGCACAGCGCAGAGGTCCGAGTGATGCACAGCGCAGAGGTCCGAGTGACGCACAGCGCAGAGGTCAGTGTGACGCACAGCGCAGAGGTCAGTGTGACGCACAGCGCAGAGGTCAGTGTGACGCACAGCGCAGAGGTCAGTGTATCGCACAGGGCAGGGTCAGAGTGACCCACAGTGCAGAGGTCAGAGTGACGCACAACGCAGGGTCAGAGTGACGCACAGCGCAGAGTCAGTGTGACGCACAGCGCAGGGTCAGTGTGACGCACAGCGCAGGGTCAGTGTGACGCACAGCGCAGGGTCAGTGTGACGCACAGCGCAGGGTCAGTGTGACGCACAGAGCAGAGGTCAGTGTGACGCACAGAGCAGAGGTCAGAGATCCTCCTCCATGTATCTTCTTTTCCCCTGCTGCATAACTTTCTCTGCAGTCTTCCTCCCAGCCTGGCAGCTGAGGTGGGCGGAGGAAGCTGCAGAAGACAGCGGATCTCATCGAGGTGCGCCGCCGGCGGGACCAGGGATGGGACACTACCGCTGCGGCAATCGCTCACTTCTGTTCTCTCTTCTTCTTCTCTGCCGCTTTGTAGCTGCAGCGGCCGGTGAGAAGAGAGAACAGAAGCAAGCAATCACCGCGGCGGTAGTGTCCCATCCCTGGTCCCGCCGGCGGCGCACCTCGATGAGATCCCACTCGCCCCCACACAATTTTCACTTGCCAATTGCGAGGGGGCAAGTGGAAATTTTGAGGCCTGGTCTACATGATCAATAGTGAGGGGTAGGTCATGATTCTGAGCTCTCGGTCACAGGAGCAAATCCTGGGTTTTCTCTAGAAGCAACGGGAACAGACATTCAGGCTCCTGGAAGTGTCTACTCTGAAATGGAAGAGGTAGGTTAATAAGATCAATATGACCATAGGTTTCCTTTAACGCTCTGTAATGACCTGTACTGAGTGAAAAAAGGATAAAGCTGCCTTTTGATTAACTCCTTCTGAAAATGCTGGTTGTCTCTGGCTTTAGCAGTTGGAGACACTGACCTGGAATAAGCCTGCAGGTCAGGAAAGATAGACTGAAGACGCAAGCCATTGGATCAGCATGACGGCTGACTGGTGTGCTGATCCTCCTGTGAAATTGCATGTAGATTCATTCTGTGTGAATAGAGACAAAAAGGAATTTTATTAGTATAGTTTCTTCCCAGGTTGAATGTAATATCAGGAAAATACCCCATTATGGCCACTAGATGGAGCTGAGGAGCATAGGACATAACTGTTTGTAATGCTATTGTACATGCATGTACAGGACAAATGGCACTGTGATGTGTTTATAAATACACCCCTTAAAGTGTCTTTCCAGATTTGCAGCCAAATTGGGATAACACTTTATATTTGGTACATGTTTCAATTCACATAGCAAGACTTTAAAAGAGCAATGGAAAATGCTGTTACACTTGTTTTCTTTTAATACTAATTTTCTATCATAGAAATTTCCCTCTGGAATGCAGAGGGGGTTGGGAAGTTTACTACAGTTAACCCTGCCCGTACTGTGTTGGCAGATCTCACTATCAGTTGTAAACTAGATTGAACACTGTCTGTCCTAGCAAAGGATTAAAGCTCTAGAAGCATTGTACAGTAATGACAGGAAGTGTCCCTAGTCTTTCTATGGGGACAGCCATAGTTTCCTGCATCACTCATTTTGCCTGATGAAGGGGATCTTGTGAGACCCCAGAAACGATGTTTTTTGATGTATTGTGCTATGTCTCATGCGTCAATAAACAGACGCCATTGATTCATCACTTGGAGTGCCGGTGTCTATGTTATTCTCAGCCACAGTTTCCTGTTACTTGAAATTGTACAGAGTACTGCAAGGAAGACATACTGCCTTCCTTGCAGTATGTCTGACACTGTTTGTTCTTCTTTGGCACCCTTTTATGACCAAACCCATATACATCATCATTCTGCAACTACCAGCAAGCTTCTGACAAATTCCTGTCTCAGAGTTATGATGCAAACCCCAGCTCACTATTTAACCAACTTGTCTAGTCAGTCTCAGCCCTTGCGTGTGTTCTGATCTACCAAGTGTTCTGCTGTTGTTTTTGTTCTTCATGTATGACCCTGGCTCTGGCTCACCGACCTCCTGGTACCTGACTCTGGCTATTTTTCCATTCATCCTGCTCTCAGTGTTTCCTGACCTGGTTCGGCTTACTACCCACTTTGGCATTTGACCTTATGCTTGGCATGGACAGCGTCCTGGACTTCGTCCATTTGTGTTTATTGTTATTTTCAATTAACTCTTTTTTTTTCTAACCTGCACTTTAGCGTCTGTCTGCTTTCTTAGTTTTCTAACAATCAGCAACATTGACCACCTCTATAAAAGCCAGCTTTTTAGCAGTTTGCTGGTCTGGAGCATTCAGGTGTGTCAAGGGTTAATATACCCTCAGCGATTTTTGCATATATCTACTGCTAGCAAGCAAAAAAAAACATCCAAGTCGGAGCCTTTCTTAACCAACTACCCCAGCCCCACCCAACCCATCAGGTACAAAATGAAAAAAAACTGTCAGACAGGGTTGCAGTTGAGGCCACAAGAGGCCAAACCAGGGATGCACCGATACAGGTATCAGTGCAGATACTGGGAATTTTTGCCCAGTCCCAAAATGCCCCGATACAAAGTGCGAATAACAGATTTGACTGCCATAAGGTCCCACGCTTGCTGGGGACCTCACGGCAGCCTTCTGAGGACCTCACAGCGCTGCATACAGGGCTGGCTCAGACATCTAAATCTTTCTTGTGGAACCCCAAAGTGGCCTGTGAGACCCTTCCAAACTCAGAGTTCTGCGATGGGCACGCCCCCGGCGGTGGGAAGTTTGCAGTTTTCTCTGCAGTGTGATTGGTGAGAGCAGGAGGAAGCTGTGGGCCGAGCTTGGGGAAGGGAGGACTAGAATCACTGGGGGGAGCGATCGGGTCCTGCTAGGCACAGCTAATTTCTCTTTGACTGGGGCTATGGGAGGTGCACTTCCAGGACTACCTGAAGGAAGGTTTGGGGCAGAGTCCACCAGATAGCCCGGGCGATGAGCTGAGCCCCATGCCTGCAGGTCAGGTAGGGTCCTGGGCTGGATGGTTGCCTTATAGGACACATGGGGTGTCAGAGCTGTGCTTGGGGCTCTGAGGGCCCATTCACACAAGTGCATTCAGGGCACGGTTCTTTGCTGTGAACGCACTAAATCGCATAAACAAAGGCTCCCCCGTTCTAGAGCGGGAGGGAGTGTGTTGGTGCCAATCATGTCAATGGCACCACGGAGAGTCCTCCGCCTGCAGTGTGATTGCCCGCACCGGAAGGCGTTTTACTGCAATGCCATGCATTCCATTGCGGTGCGATTGCAAAGAAAAGTGCATGTACAATTTTATGGGATCGCACAGCACTGGAACGCAGAGCATTGCAGTACAGCGCATTCCGGTGCAGGCTATCGCACTACAGGCAAGAGGCATCTCTGTGGTGCAATAGACATGAATGGCACCGCCATGCCCCCTCCCGCCCCAAAATACGGGGAGCCTTTGTTTATGTGATCCAGTGCGTTTAGGGCACGTGACCATGCCCTGAACGCACTGGATGGTGTGAATGGGCCCTGAAGGTGCTCAAACTTGTACAGCTCTGGTTGTGCAAGCATTGCGTCTGTGGGATCACCATTGCTCAATGTTCTCATAAGTCAGAGATAACTATAGGTGGCTCCTATTGTCTAAGCTTACTAGATGTGTAAGGGGTCCTGGATTGAGGTGCTGGGGGACAATGGGTGAGGGACCCGGGTGACAGTGTATTTGGGGGGGGTGCTTGGCGACAGTGAATGTAGGGAATGGGTGA